TTTTACTTTTGGAAACCTCAACAGTAGCAATGACGAGAGAGAAAACAAAGGAAAGGAATAAAGATCACAAAAGAAGAGATCAAACCACCCTGTTTGCTGACGATATGATGGTTTACTCGAAAAATTCTAGGGCTTCAGCAAAGATACTAATGACACAATTAATAGCTTCAGCAAAGTTTCAGGCCGCAAAATACATTCCTAAAAACCAACAGAATTTCTATATAATAACAAAACCCAAGAAACAGTAATAGGGAAACCCCATTGCAGATAACTATAAAATGCATAAAAGATCTGGGGATGAACCTCCCAAAACACATCAAAGACTTTTATAGCTTCAATTACAAAACTTCCTTAAAGAAATAAAGAACATCCTAAATGTTACTGTTATTATTCAGTCACGTCTGACTCTTTGACTCCATTTGGGGTGTCTTGGCAGAGATACTGGAGCGGTTTGCCATTTCCTTCTCTAGCTCATTTTACAGATGAGGAAACTGAGGCACACAAGGTTGAGTGACTTGCCCAGGGTCACATGGCTAATAGGTGTCTGAGGATGGATTTGAACTCAGGAAAATGAGCCTTCCTGACTCCAGGCCCACAGCTTTATGTACTATGGTAACACCTAGCTGCCTTGCATCCTTAATAGCTAGAAGAACATTCAGTGCTCATGGCTAGGTCGTGCCTATGTAATAAAAAATGACAATATTATCAAAGTTAATTTATGCTTTTAACACTATACCAATCAAATTAACAAAGGGATACTTCATAGAACTTGATAAAATAATAACAGATTTCATTTGGAAAACCAACAAGATCCAGAATATCAAAAGAAATGGTGAAAAGAAGTAAGGACAAAGTGGGGATTCCAGACCTCAAACTACATAATAAAGCAGCAATCTTCAAAACCATCTGGTAATGGTTAAAGAATAAAGGGAGAGGGGGCAGCTAGGTGGTACAGTGGATAGAGCACTGGCCCTGGAGTCAGGAGGACCTGAATTCAAATCCGGCTACAGACACTTGACACTTACTAGCTGTGTGACCCTGAACAAATTGCTCCCGGGGAGGGGACACCACAGAACCCCTCCCTCAGAAGGGCCCTTCGGAGCACACCCTCCCCTCTAGGAGGAGTGCACTCTCCCTTCCTGCCAGAGTGCCTCCTTCTGCTAAATGGACCAGTGTCTCAGTGCTGCCCTCACATGAATTATCCTCTAGGAAAATATGCATGCCCAGCCATATGTCACGAGCCTTTTTCCTCCTCATCCCCACAGCCTGCAATAAAGCTTTGTACTGAACTGATGCCCACTGTTTTACCCGTAGTCCTCAGCATCTACATTCATCAAGAGGTTGTTTTCCCCAAGGGCTCTGGCTGGCCCATGGGTCTCTCCTTGGACATAAAATGGGTACCTGGCCAATGACTTACCCTAAGGATAGCCACACCTGCCCTGGGGGAACATGGCGCTGTGAGCTCAGCTACAGGAAGCAAGTGTCAATAGAGGAACCCTCCATTCTAGGTACTAGGGTTTCAAGTACAAAGAATGAAACCATCTTCACAAGCGTGCTGTTCTCATCAGGAGAGACAAGCAGGGCCTATGAAACAGATCTAGAGATACAGCATAAACACAAACTGTAACACAGCATAAATGCATGTGTGTATAAACTGAAAAGACAGCAACAACGTAACCTGGGAGCTTGGGAGAGAGGGTGACCACACCGCAGAGAGCTGAAAGGGAGGGACTGTTAGGAGTGGGACAGGAAAATGGAGGGCTTTCCAGGCAGGGGGAACGGCCATTGCAAAGACCTGGTGATGGGAGATGGAGTGCGTTGTCTGAGGCACTAAGTGCTTCACAAATATCATCTCATTTGATCCTTAGAACAAACCTGGGAGGAAGGTACCATACATCAGCCACGATTATATAGAGGAAGAGGCCCAATTCCTGCCTTCAGGGAGTTTACATTCTAACAGCACACATGCTCACATGCCCAAGGCACACCCCAAATAATTCGAAGGGCACTAGGAGCTGGAGGGCCAGGAAAGGACTCAGCCATTGTAGGGAGCTCTGAAGGACCCAGGGAGGCTGGCACTCCAGGCACCGGGCCCAGCCAGTTCGAAGACAAGGAGGTGGGATGGAGGGTGTAAGGAAGGGCAAATGGGCTGGTCTGGCAGAGAGGCTGAGGGTGAGCAACCATCCTAGGCTGGCAAGAGAGGACAAAGCCAGGTTGTAAAGGGCTTTCCCTGTCAAACACTAGAGACAATGATAGGGAGCCAGGGAGCCTTCTGAGCAGGGGGTAAAGAAATGGCTTTGGCAGCCAGTGGCTGAAACGTTCATTAAGAGGCTATTGCAGTTGTGGGAGTGAGGCGATGAGGCCTGGGCTGGGGTGGTACCCGAGTGGTTAGGGAGAAGGTGCAGATGTGAAGGATGGTGTTGGGGGGAGGAATGGGAGGGTGCCTACACATAAATCCAAGGCCTCCACGAGGGATGTCCAGGCAGGAAGTGGTGCGCTCTACAGAAATAGGGGGTTGATCATAGGACCTCTGAGTGGAGCTTACAGGGCAGAGACTGGTTTGTGGAATTACTTTGTAGCCTCCATGTCCGGCACACAGTAGGCCCTCAATCAATGCTTGTCAAATGGATGCTGAAGAAGGGGGTGGGTGGGGAGAGGGGAAGGGAAGCACCAGTATGTGGGGATGTGAAGGGCTCAGTTGTGGATATGCCAAGTTTGAAATAAGGGTAAGAGTATCATCCCCATTTTACTGATGAAAAGACTCAGGCTGGAAGAGGTTAATATGGGTGTTGAAGGGGCAGCTAGGTGGCGCAGTGGACACAGCACCTGCAGTCAGGAAGGCCCGAGTTCAAAATCGGGTATTAGCTGTGTGACCTTAGGCAAGGCACTACTCCTGGCTCCTTTCCTCATTCACTGGGGGACCATGGGTACCTGAGAGGCCTCGGGCCACTGGATGTGATATCAGAGCTCTGGGTTCCCATCCTGGGGCTGCCCTTTACTATGCCTGGGTGACCTTGGAAAAGGGGCTTCCCCTTCTGGATACACTTCCTGGTCTACAGTGAGGGGGTTCAGCCCAAAGGCCTCTGAGTCCCAGCTCTCAACATTCTGTAAGCCTCCTTCCCCAGCATGGCCCAGGCCAGACATTACAGCAAACAGAGCAAGCAAAGTGTCCCTGTGGGTGGCCCCCCAAACTAACCTCCCCTCGAGAAATGTCCCAAGCGCTTTCTAGATTGGAAGTTCACTTAACCCTCCTACAGAGAGAGAGATGTGGGGGATGAAAAGGGCACACCTTTGGGTGCCCCTTTGGAGAGGGCCTCAGAGCCCTCTTCGGACCTCCAGCAGGGGGTCTTTGAGATCATTTCAGTCAACTCCCTCATTTTACAAAGAAGGAAACAGGCACGTGGTCAGGCTTCCTGTCTTCTGGCACTTCAGTAGTGCAATGGGTAAAGCACCGGGCCTCGGCCTGACCCGAGTTCAAATTCAGCCTCAGACACATTAACTGTGTGAACCTAGGTGGGTCACTTAGCTTTTGTCTGTCTCAGTTTTCTCATCTGAAAAGTGAGGATAATAGCACTGACCTCCCAAGGTTCTTGTGAGATGATAATTGTAAAGTGCTTAGCACAGTGCCTGGCACACAGTGGGAACTTAAAAGATGCTTGTTTCTTCTTCTGTTAGGTCTGGGATCTTTTCCATTGCATTACCTTGCCTCAGAGGAAGGGCAGGGCAGGGCAGGGGATTGTAGGGGCTCCAGGGCCTGTAGACAGACTCAGCCACTGGTCCTAGCTCTCTGCTTCAACCACCCCAGAGGAAGGAAAGATGATCGGAGCCTGTAGGCAGCCTCCAGACTCACGTGGCCATCAGGCTGGGGTCTTTGGACCCAAGTCCATCCAGGCTCACCATGAAGCCCTTCTTGATTCCCTAACCAAGAAGCCAGAAGTAAAACATCTCTTCTGCCCATGGGCCGAGCAGCCGAAAATTCGCTCGCAGCAGACCACAACTATTTCAGCTACTTCTACTCCCAGACCCCCAGACAGCTGGACCGACTAAATGAACGAAAGGCGGAGAGGGGGCGGGTGCACAGGTGGGCGGAGGGCGGCAGGGCCAGGATCCCGCCCCCTCCAAGATGAACTAGAGCTCCGCCTCCCACCCCCCTCTCTGGGCCAGACCCCAGACCCCGGGGCCGGGTATTATTTGGGGAAGCTGGGCCAGCAGCCACGCGCCGGGGCCCGGATGTCCCTGGGGCTGGGTTTGGGGGGGCCCCCGGGCCGCTGCCATTGGCCCGCTGGTCCCTGGCAACGATGGAGGGAGGCCAATTGGAGAAGGGGGAGGAACGAGCCTAGGAGGGGAAGGTGGGCCGTGTGGGGGTGGGTCAGAGGCGAGGCACGTGCGGCCCACCCCCCAGCACCCCCGGGGACTCGTGCTGCAGCTCGCTGCCGCAGCCTCCTGCACCGCCGCCCCGACAGCCACCTCCCTACCTTCCTCCTCGCCTCCTGCCCCGGCCCACGCCCCGCCCTGCGCGCGCCCAGCGCGTGGGGATGAAAAAAGGGGCCGGGAGGAGGACGCCTGGACAGCGCCCAAGCCCAAGGGGAGGGGAGGGGGGAGGGGGGAGCAGGGCGGGAGCGCCCGCCCCAGTGGGGCTCCGCAAGTTTGGCTGCAAGGGAGGAGGGCGTTGGGGCTCCATGTGCATTTAAAAACAAGACACCCGGGCCACGGCCGGAAAAGCGCAGTAACAAGCGAGCCAGACCGCAAGCAGGCGAGCTCCCCCCAGCCACAGACAGCACGCGCGGGACGCGAGAGCCCCACGCGCTGCCCTGAGGAGCGCTGCCACCTGCCAGCTCCTTCCGTCGCACGACCTGGCCGTCCTGCCCGCCTGCTTCCCGAGGGCCCCGGCTGGGCGCTGCATCTCTACGCGTCCGGCCACAGCGGGTAACCATTGCCCGCGAAGGAGGTGGCCTCGGCAGCTCTGGCCGGGGTCGCTGCGCGGACGGGCCAGAGCGGACATGGACAGCTGCGGAAGAGCGCTGAGCCAGCTGCCCCCCCCCACACGTCCTCTCGCCCGCAGCAGTCCCCTGGACTCCGGGGGTCAGAGGTTGCAACCCTGTGCGGCCACGGGTGCCTACTCTCCGTCCGGCACGGTGCCTCCCCACGCGTCCCTGAGGGCTGCCCGGCGGCGGCGGCCAGCGTCCCCAGAGCTGCTGCGCTGTAAGCGGCGGCCGGCTCCAGCGCCGGGGACACCGGGCCCTCTGAGCCTGCAGTTGCAGCCTCCGCCTCCGCAGCAGCAGCCAGGGCCCGACTCGACCCCGGGGGTAGGAGCGGCGGCAGTGGCCCGGCGCAATGAGAGGGAGCGCAACCGCGTCAAGCTGGTGAACCTGGGCTTCCAGACCCTTCGACAGCACGTCCCCAACGGCGCAGCTAGCAAGAAAATGAGTAAGGTGGAGACCTTGCGCTCGGCCGTCGAGTACATCCGTGCCCTGCAGCAGCTGCTAGCGCAGCAAGACGCCATGGGCGCCACTTTCTCTGAGGGCCTCCTGGGCGCGGGGGCCACTGGCCCGGCCGGGTCTCCGCAGCCTCCTGGGGCTGGGGCCCCGTGCGGAGGCAGTGAGGGCCCCTGCCCCTACTCAGGCTCGTACACGTCGGGCTCCCCCTCCTTCGACTCGTTGTCCCCCGGCCGAGAGGGCAGTTCGGTGCCAGGTTCCCCTCGCTCACCGTACTCATCAGACGAGAGCGGTTACGAGGGGGCGCTGAGCCCCGAGGAGCAGGAGTTGTTGGACTTCACCAGCTGGTTCGGGGGCTACTGAGAGGGCGTGTGCGCCGCCCCCCCCCCCGGTAACTAGGAGCCGTGGACCCGCCGAGACTCAGTCGCCGCCCCCTCTGATCCCCCGCCCCCCACTCACATACTGGCCCAACGCACCCTGATTTCCTTACACACATACAAGCACACACACACCCCCCACTGACCCACGCGCCCTCGGGGCCCCGGGCAGGAGAGCCTCAAAGCAGCCGCAGGCCCCCACCCCCACCTAGGGCCAGCCGCTCCTAGAGCGGCCTTTGTTTGAGCCGGTGATCGCCAAACTTCCTTTTGCCGGTTCCGCCGGCCCGGGGGAGCAGGGTGCACCGCCCCCCCAGCTCCCCGCTCTTCCCAGGCCACTCCCTCGGGCTAAAGCGCTGAAGGCGGGTGACTTTGCAATGCAAATGGGTCTGCGGAGGGAGGCCGAGACGGAAAGGTGCTCGGGGAGAGGCCCTGACTCACGGAAAAGCTGAGCCCAAGGTTGGCTTTGAAGCCCCCGCCTCCAGCTCCGGGCCCAGGCCGTGAAACGCCGAGTCAATAGTGCCGGTGAAACTGCCGAGCTAGTTGTTGGGACGGGGGAAGGGGCGGTCTGGCCCGGGCTGCACCCGCCGGCTCTAGGTGCCCTGCGGGAGGAGGGGGAGGAGAAGAGCTGCCTGCTTGGCTGGGGGGCCCTGGGGTGGGGCCGAGGCCGGCCCAGGAAGAACAACTGGTTCTGCCGGCTGCGATTTATGGCACCTGTGTTGTTCCCTCTCCTTTCCTGCCCCCCCCCCCAGTCCCCGCAGCAGCACTGAATGCCGAGAGGACCCAGTCAGTACCTGAGGGCCTTCCTTGCTTCCCCACCTGTGAAGGAGTTGCAGAAAGCCTGACCTTGCTACCTGCCAAAGATTCACCCTGGCTGCTGGACGGCGAGGGACCCAGGAAGCCTGCGCTTTAAGCCCTGCCTGCTGGGGCCGGCCTCACAGACTGGGGTGAGGGGGTGGGGAGAAGCGATGGACAGGCAAGGGGACAGAGAAAGGTCGGGCTTGAGCGACAGTCTGGAAGCTACAGCCTGCCGTGTACCTGGAGGCTTCCTTCTCTCTTCCCCCCTACTTTTATGTTAATATTTCGAGGGAAGTGAGTGTAATCACCCTTGCCTCTCGTTAGGGGGAAAGGGTTCTGAGAACAGTTTTTTTTTTCTTTTTAATGAATGGAATTGAGTCCCAGAGAACAAAGTCGAGGCGGATTTTTTACCAACGAACTGGAGCTTGGGAAGCCCATGAACGTGATTGTGGAGGGGGCTTCCCTCGCCCCGAAGAGCTGCCCCCCTCCCAAGCCCTGCTGTGGCTCCTTGGGGCAAGCCGACTGGCCTGGCCCTGGCTGCCTTCGATGAAGGCTGGATTGAAGGCACTGGGCAGACGACCTTGTGTGAGGGGCTGTCTGCCCTCTACTTAAGAATTACCCTATTTTATGGAAAGTGGATTTTATAAATAAAACAGAATCTATTTATAATATGACTGTAAAACTCAGTGCTGGCTCTGAAGGAGGAGTAGAAACTTTGTCCCGGGGGAGGAAAGGTGGACAGTCTCCCTTCTGTGCCCATTAGACAGATGGGAAAGCTGAGGTGCTGAAGTGAGCCCTGGGGCCCTGTAGTAGGTGGAAGTGGACTCCTGTTAAGAAGCCTGGCCTAGTACAAGAGACAGGACTCCTAGCTCCCAGGAGGAGGTTGGCCAGCCCTCAAGGAGGGGGAGGGGGCATGGGCATTTTCCGACCTGGGCAGATGGCACAATGCCAAGTCCAGGCTGAGAATGGCCGGAGGGGCCCTGACTCCTTCAGTACAATGGAGGGGAGGGGGGGGAGGCAGGGTAGGTATGATGCCCTTCCCCCTCCCCCAGCCCTGTCCAGGCTAACCCCCTTTCCTTCCCTTTAGCCTGATGAATAAGCTAAGAAACTAGGCTGCCTTTGACTGTCCCGGAGCAGCTGCCCTTTGGGGAAGGGGCAGGGCAGCTGCTAGCCAAGAAGCCCCGAGGCTAGTGAACCGGGAGGAGGCTGGTCGGTCCTTTCCCTGGACTCCAGCCTTGCTCGACGAGCCTTTGGGCCCAGCCACTGGAGGCTTTTACGAGCAGTTCAACGTACCTCCCACCTCTGGGGCTCGCCGACAAAGCGGCTGGAATTAGGGCTGAGCTGGGCTGTTCCCGGCATAACCATTAGCAAGGAGCGCCCAGGAATCCTAGCCCCGGGCGGCGTCGGGAAGAGCCCTAGCAGGCTGAGGGCGGGGGGCGGGGCGGGGTGGGGCGGGGCCAGCAGCTCTGCGGAGGAGGCACTGCCCAAACCTCTCTGCTCCTCCGGGTCTCACACGCAGCTTTGGGCTGGGCCCCTGAGCGGCCTTCTGGGCCCCTCTGCCCCACGCGGGGAGCTGGCCAGCGCCCCTGAGCTGCTCTCGGCGATTACTTTCTAGTCTCCGTAATGAGTTCCCACAGAACCAAGTTCTCTGCCCATCTCGCAACTCCGCTAGCCTGTTCCCCCGCCCCATCCTCCTCTCTTCCTCATTTCCCTATTCCTGAAGAGCGAGCCACTATCTTCCCAGGAAGCCAGGCCCCCAGCCCAGGTGTCCTCCTCAGTGCGGCTCACCCTCTATACCCTTAGGAACGTCTTTCCACTAGGCTCATCTCTCCCGGATCTTCCCACCTCGATGGGCGGCACTCCTCCCCTACCTCTTGGAGTCTACAGAGCTGGCTCGCTGGCTTCTTCCTGCCACAAGTCTCTCCCCACTCCAATTCCTCCTCGGTGGGCTGCCAACCCCCTCATCCTCTTCAGGCCAGTGACCCTAGCCTCTCTCTGCTGTTCCATCTCCCCAACTCCTCTGATTTTCTCTGGCTGGCCTGGCCTTGCAACATTCTCCCTGCTCACCCCTGCTTCCCGGCTTCCATGTTCCTCCAAGCCCCCCTAAAAGCCCCCCTGCACAGGAAGCCTCCCTGTCTGCCTCAGCAGATGACCTCCTGTTGGCCCAGTCTGTAGCTATAGGCCCTTCGTTGTGGGCTTTATCGTGCTTTGAGGGCAGGCCCTGGCTTCTGCCTTTCCTTGAATCCCCAGTGCTTGGCCCAGTGCCCTGCACACAGTAAGTACTTAAGCAATGTTTACTGGCTGAAAATCCCACCCCAGGTGGCCTTGCTCTCCTCCCCCTCCTCAGACTTCCCCTGTCCTTTTGCTCCTGGAATTCCTTATCTATCTTGAACTCATTCAACAGGCATTTATTAAACACCTACTCAGTACCAGGCCCAGGGCTTTGTGCTGAGTGGTAGTGGGGACCCAAAGAATGTCCTGGAAGTGTTTCCATTTCACTGAGTCACCTGGAGAGGTGGGCTGGAATCCAGTAAGCTCACAGAATGGATAGAGTGAGGGCCTGGGCCTGGGCTGGGATTTCACTGGTTTGAAGTATCTCCAAGATGAAGGACCTTGAGTCAGGCACCTCTCTTTGAGGCTTGCTCTGTGTCCTACAGCTCCATCGTCACCCCTACCCCTCTCCTCTACCTCCTCTCTCTCTCTCTCTCTCTCTCTCTCTCTCTCTCTCTCTCTCTCTCTCTCTCTCCCTTGTCTCTGTCTCTGTGTGTCTCTCTGTCTCTCTCCCTGTCTCTCTGTGTCTCTATCTCTCCTGTGTCTGTCACTAAAGTCCTGAGGCTGAGGCCAGGCCTTAGTCCCCTTTTCTCCCAGCTCTCTTGTGAGGATGAAACCTGATCTTTCTAATGTGCTTCCTGAGTCCTACAGTCTGATGGAGGTAGCAACTTCACTGTTCTTGACACTCAGATCTCTCACAAATCTGGGGAACCAGAATAAGGCAAATGTGACTCTGACCAAAAGCCATGGTGTGTGAGCCACATGACACCTGTGGATGGGCAGCCTGGCTCAGGACAGATCATTGGGGCCTGAAAAGGAATCATCATATATAGCCAGGGCTTCAGGATTGGCCTTGGTTTCAGAGTCTGGGCTTCCAAACTTGCTTCTGTGATGTTGGGCAAGAGCTGGGTGCTCCCTGAGTGTCAGTTCCCACATCTGGAAAATGGGAGCAATAATACATGAGGAGGGGTGGCGTGGAGCAGAAAGGTGAATGAAGTTCTCTGGAATTCAGTTGCTTAATCTGTAAGATGAGGATGCTGGACATGGCCACCTCCAAAAATCCCTCTCAGGCGTAAACTCTAGGATTCTGATAAGAGGGGGTGGGGCTTCAGCTGGGCCTGTCTAGATTAAGGGACCAGCCATGCAGGTGAAAGGTAGGGTGGTGAATGACATCCCAGCCCCAGGGAAGCCCCAACTCATTTGGACCGAATTGATTTAGAGCTGGCCATAGACAAGGATTAAGCCAGACTTTGTACTTCTATGAAGAAAGGGTTTGCTAACTCTACCGGTGAACAAGATTGCAGGGGAAGGTTTAAGCTACTGAAGAAAACAAACTGCATTCGAGTCCTCAGGAGGCTTTAGAAGTGCCCAAAGCCATTGCTAACTGTTGGTATTATCTATTTCTTAAAGCAGATCCTCCCAAGACTTTCATTTTGTTAGCCCCAAAGGGTCTTAGAGGGATGAAAGTTGTTGCATGATTTTCATCATATTTTTCTCTACAAGCATTCAAGACTTTCCACCTGACCTTAATTCTGATCCAATGCTTTCCCCAACATTAGTTTAGGAGACACCTACCAGGTGTGGTTGAAGGGGAGAGTGCTGGATTTGGAGTCAAGACCTGAATTCAAATCCTGCTTCGGAAACTTACTAGCCTCATCATCTACTCTCTCTCAGCCTCAGGTTCCTCATCTGTAAAATGGGCATAATGGCACCTACCTCACAGGGCTGTTGGGAGGCTCAAGGCCCTGAAGATGCCCCATAAATGAGAGCTCTTGCTATTATTTATTCCTAACAAATACAGTGTGATTGTCCTCATGCGCTGCCTAGGACACAGGCTTGGAAGCGAGACCCCCATGGGTGAGGGGCAGCCTAGGCCCAGCCTGAGTCACAGCAGATGTGGAGGTCAGAGAAGCTGGCATGGTCTTGGGCTGGGCTTCACACCAGTGTCCCAGGTCAGGGAGGGATGGGCCCTCCATGCTCTGCCCTGCTCAGACCGGGGGGGGGGGGGGAGGGGGGGGGCTGCACAGTTTAGGAAGGCCAGCAAGGGCCTGGACAGGGCCCAGGAGGGCAGCCAGGGCCTCCGAGTGCTGATGTGGAGGAAACTGGAGAGGCAGTGCAGAAGAGGCAAACGCTGGTCTCTAGGACTGGGGGGGGGGGGGTGGAGCAGGTTTGTCTGGAGCAGTGGGGTGGGGGGGAGATGCAAAGAAGCGAATTTAGGCGGGAAGTCAAGAAAACTTCCTGAGACTTGGAGCCTCCAGACGTGGGACAGGCTACCTTCGCAGGTAAGGAGCACCTGGGCACTGGCAGCCTGCAAAGGCAGGCTGGATGCCTGCCTGGTACAGGGGGATTGGTAAGAGCTGGGCTGGGTGCCTTCAGAGAATCATCAGCCATCGGACTTTGAAGCAGGAATCTCAATTCGACTTCCTCTTCCTGGGAGGGGCAGAGAAAGGCAGTGCCCGAGCCCTCCCCTGGCAGTCCCCCAGTGCCCCAGAGACCCCAGCACAATGTGATAGCTCCCATTTGCTCTAGCTCTTGTTCAGGCCCTGGTAAAGCTTGGAGCTACCATCAGTACAGGCACATGACACCCTCGCCCCGGGGCCACTGGGTGCCTTGACAAAATATAAATAAACTCAAATTACATAAAACAGGACAACATGCCCTAACAACTGTCCCTGAGCCAGCAGGGCAAGATTGCAGCCCGAAGGAAAGGGAGGGAGCCATGCGAGCTCTGCTCCGGCTCCCCACAGAGCCCCCAAGTGACCTGGAAATCCTAGAGCAAAGCTGCCTGCCTAGAAACAGAAATGTGCCTGGGGGTTGCTGGGTGGTCCCTTCCCCCTCCAAACTACCTCAGGTCTTCCTCTGTGAAACAAGGGAAGCCCCTGCCAGCTCTAAGTCCTGGGGCCCCATGATCCCTACGACCCCAAAGCACTGCCTAATTTAGAAGGGGGAGGGCTGCCTTACATCATGGTTACCAGGAACCATTCCTCAGATAGGCAAGTGTGGGTCTTGGTGGGGGTGGGTAGGAAGAGAGAGGTGTATGTGTGGTTGAGGGGAGGGAGTTACCTGGTGAATCTAGGCTGCAAATAGAGTTGAAATGTAAAATATATAAGATAGTGCCTTGTGGAGTGTCTGGTCTTGGTAAAGTCTGGGCTAGAGGTGGGAAGTGACAGGGACAGACAAAAGACAGAGAAGACATTTAGAATAGAGACCCCAGCAGGACAGACTGCATGAGACAGGCTCAACACAAGAAATAAGAAGAAGCCAGAGAAGGATGAAGGCTGTGACTTCTCCAAGTAAAACAGTGGTAGGTAACAAGCTTCCAGGGCACTCCTCCTTCCCCCTCAAATCCCTTGTCCCCAGGCCCCGTTGCCACCTCCAGTC